GAGAGAAAGAAAGCAAATATGGCCAGATGCTAAGAACTGCTAAATCTAGGTGAAGGGACAACAGGTTTTCTCTGTATTACCTATCTGTCCAGCTTTTCTTTAATGTTTCAAAACTCTCCCAATAAAAACGTTCATAATGTACTCTCAATGGCTGAAGCTCAAACCATCTGAGCAACAAAAGAAATAACTATTGTATTGGATTATAACCCATAATAAGATAAATATCTATGCATCTTTATGATAAAAATAATTGAATAAGTAAACAGGGAAGAGGGGCAGCTCTCTCTTACTGAAGAGTTTGATTAGTCGACGCAGAAGGAACGAAGGAACAGAAGAGTCACCGTTAAAACCCCACTGTAACAACTACCACAGACAGATCCGTGGGCGGATGGATGTTTGCATAGCCTCAAAGTATCTCCCCAAGATAGTTATTACAAAAGAAAAAATAGAACATTACAGGGCAGAAACAGGCAGACGTTACCTTCACAAGTGATCGAGACTCACTAGAGAATGGACAAACGGACACGGTGCACCCTCGATACGACGCACAGAGGAGGACACGATGTCGCGCCCGCAGGATTCTCCCCAGAAATGCCCAGCCCCGATCTAACCACAAAAAAAATCAAACAAACCCCAACTGAGGGACACTCTATGAAATACCTGGCCGGTACTCTTCCAAAATGTGAAGGTCGTGAAAGACAAGGAAAAAATGAGGAGCCAGTGTACTGTTCTGTGTCAACAGGATATGCAAGGGGGGAGCGTGGTCAGCAACTCTGCACCATTTTTGCAACTTTCAAGTAAGTCTAAAATTATTTCTAAATAAAAAGCTTTTAAAATTCTTGTAATTAAAAAACACCTTTGCATTAAAGGTGTCCATTGTTTGGAATCACTTACGCTAAGGGATACGTGCTGTGATGTGGCTGGATCGGATGGTGCCAGCCGGGGCGCATCCTCTCCCTGCCGGAAGCAGTAGCGACTCCCACCTGGGGAAGGTGAGGGGGACCCCGGATGTGACTGCGGGGTCCCCACCCAGGGCATCTGGGCTGGAGGGAGCAGGCATGCTGAGGAAGCAGTGAGCCTGTCTGCCAGGCTCTCTGCTTATTTCTGAGACAAGGGAAGGCTCCACAGAGGGGAAAAAGGACAATAAGTCAGAATTGAGAAAACGAACAGGGCAAACGCGGCCTTCTTTGTGTCGAGCACTTTATATGACTTACTGTTTGAAACGACTGCATTTGATATTCTGTGCTTTAAAATGACACGGATGATATATTGAATAACATTTAAAATAACTTTCCAGTCTACTCAGTAGCTTACTTTAACTAGTTTCACTTTAACAGCGAGTAGGATCACTCAGGCGCCTTCCCCTCTCCCATGAACTGGGTAATGAAGACCACCCTTGCTTGTCTCCTCACCACCATCCACGCGTTAATTTGTTCGCTCCCAGAGCACGGTGGTGTGCTCACTGACCCACCAGCCGCCGGGGACGCTGACTGGCTTCCAGGAAGGGAAAAGACAAGCGTGGTAAAAGGTTAATCATACAATCTAAGTGGTGGGTGTGTAGGTGGTTGCGGTAAAATTCTTTCAATTTTGCTTTATATTTAAATTTTTTCCTAGTAAATTATTGTTTTAAAAGAGTAAAATTACAAATGGGTATTTTGGGCACGTTTGAAATTTCTCTCCATAGCAATCCCCGAGGGCTTCACGGAGGAGGAGCGTCGGGTGGAGGGCTAACGGGAACAGGTCGGAACTTGGCAGGCACGAGGCAGGCATTTCAGGAAGAAAATCATCCTGGTAGAACTGCCAGAAAGAAGGGGACTCTCTGGACAGTAACGCAGAGCTGGACAGTAACTCAGAGAACAGCTAGCTAAGGTCACAATTAGGACACAAGGCTCCCGGGCACCGACGTAGGTTCGGTGGGATCAGAGACCTTGGAACTCCTGGGAGCACATGAAAGCAGCAGAGTGCACCTTGCTTCTCCATTTTCATCTGAGTAAGGCTAATGACAGAGGAACGTGAACACGGGTCCCCCCAGCCCCTACACACACACATCTCCCAACATCCGGGGCAGGAGAGTGGCCACAGACAGCCAGCCCAAAGGCGAACCGTCCCTGCCGTCATTCTGTGCCACATATAATATTTCAAACAATGCTTATCTCCACCCTGGGATACCCTCCCAAAAGTATCTCCCAGGAAAGTTGTGTTCAGAACTTTGCAAACCCCAGTTTTATATAATAACAGCAGTAACAGCAGCTGATACGTATACAGCACCTTGCCTGCACCATAGCTCATGTAACCCCCAACACAGCACTGTTGGGTACATCAGTGACCCCAGTACATGCACGGTACAGTCCCACACCCAGACGGGAAAACCGACAGTGAGTTCTCCCGAGTTACGTATCTTGTCCACAGTCTCGCTCCCGCAGACAGTACCGGCGTGCGAGTTTGGAATCGGGGTCTGCTACTTCCCGCTGTACAATTTGGGGACTAGTTAAATTCCCCCACACCCTGTTTTCCCTTGTGTACAGTGGAGAGGAGAACAGCTCCCTCAACAGGTTTTGTCCACGGTGAACTCGGATAACAGAGTAAAATAACCAAACACAGTGCCCAGCACACAGTAGACCCATCAGGAAAAAAATCCTGATTAAAAAAAAACACCCAAAACCTGCTTTTTAAGTCAAGCCCATCTCTGAACCTCTGGTCAACTTCTCTGCACTAGAAGGAGGAAATGGGAGAGTTAAACAAAAAATACCTATGACCCAGATGACCACAGGCCCAGGGGTGAATGGAATCTTGGCCTGGGGCCCTCGGCCAGGCTGCCGGGGTCAAACTGTAGGGCAGGAAACGTGCGCTTCCTCCTGCTCCAGGAACGCCGTGCTCCGGCCCGACAGCGCTTCCTGCAGCTGACCCCGCCCACTTCCCCCAGAACATTCCACACTGAGCCAGGAGACACCAGGAAGAGGCCAACGGGCTCAGCTGGAAAGATGGGCACCCCCTTCCAGGCCACCTCTGACCTGCGCCCTTGCCTAGCTCCCACTGCCTCCCCACAGAAAGACCAAGGATTGGCTCAGCCACCCAGACCTGTCTCTCCATTGTCTCCAGGCTGCCCACTAGAGCCTGTGGGTGGGAGTCGGGCTGGGTAGCTGGGCTGCTGGTCCTCAGCCATGGCCCTAGTTTGGCCTCTTACTCTCTTTCCTTAGGCCCCTGACTGGTCATCCTGCTTCTAGGCTGGGTACCCACTACAGAGAAATGAGTCACTTCAAGGACAGTCATATACCACTCCCCTCCTCAAGCACCTTCAATGGCTCCCACTGCCCCCTGAACTAAGTTCAGAGACTACACCCTGAGATTCATGGTCTTCCTTCCTCAAGAGAGTCCAAATTCACCCTCCAGTCCCCACAAGACTCATATGTTGGAACCAAAATGGATTATGCACATACATTTCTTAAGTCTGTAAATATAAATTCCCCTCTCCCACCTCCACCTCCTGGATCCTACTCCTCCCCACCTCCACCTGACTCTTACATGAGCCCTTTCCTTTCCACGTCTCTGAATTCCTCCACAACGCTCTTCCCAAAGTTTGGGTACCGGCATGCCACCTGCCATCCCCACATGGACTCCATAATGTTCTTTTTTATTTTTTAATCCTCACCCGAGGATATTTTTCTATTTATCTTCAGATAGAGGGGGAGGGAGAAAGGGGAGGAAGAAAGAGAGAGAAACATACCGATTTTTGCATTTATCTTCAAAATGCAAAAGTGGGAGGGAGAGAGGGGGGAAGAGAGAGAGAGAAACATCGATGTGTCTCTCTCACATCAACTGGTTGCCACCCACACGACCCCAACCCAGGCTAGGGACAAACTGCAACCAAGGTACGTGCTCCTAGCAGGAACCGAACCTGGGACTCTCCAGTCCACAGGTCGACGCTCTAACCGCTGAACCAAACCAGCCAGGGCCAATTCACTCTTTTACTTACATTTATTTTCAAAGAAAAATGTGTATCTCGCCCTGGCCGGTTTGGCTCGCAGTTAGAGCGTCGGCCTGCGGTCCTGAGAGACCCGGGTTCGGTTCCCATTAGGGGCACGTACCTCGGTTGCAGTTTGTCCCCGGCCCTGGTCGGTCGTGCGGGTGGCAGCCACTCGATGTGTTCCTTTCACGTCGATGTTTCTCTCTCTCTCTCTGTTCCTCTCTCACCATTCCATTCTACCTGAACAAAAAATGGAAAAATGTCCTCGGGTGAGAAAAAAAAAAATGTGTATCTCCACCATAAATAGAAAACCATATCATCTGCCATACACAGAAGGCAAATGAAGAAAAAAGTTATGTTCTAATATACATGAAAATATTTTAAATGCTTATATTTATAATACACTGAACATCACTGAATAACAGACTCCAAACCCTCTCTCACACGCCAAGCGATGCTGCCTTGCGCTTTAGTTTTGCCTCCTTCTCGCCCTTGTTTTTTCTGGTCCTGTCTTAGTTATCTGGCGACTTGTCACAGTCTTGTCCTGGTTCACCCCAACGAGCACTTGAGGGCACAGGTCCTGCAGCCCCTCATACACATAGCATGACATGTAGTAAAAACATTTATGGAACAAATGCCCCAATTTGCTCAGTCATATTAACATGGTGCCATTCTCTGCCTGACCCCAGGCCCACCTGCTGTCCAACTTTCTACCAAAATACACCTGCCCTCCGCATACCACCCCCAAATCGATCCCTGACCACTGGGGTCTCTCGGAGCATGGCACAGAGAGTGTAGCGACTCTCAAGGAGGTGCCTGGACGGTCCTAGCTCTTCAGAGTTAGAAGCAGCAGGACCCGGGGCAACAGAGAAAAGCAAGTCTCCAGTCAACCATTAACCAACACTCTCCAGCTGACACACCCTTCCCGGGAACTAGCAAAGTTCTGGGGAAACCCTGTGTGAACTGGGCCCTGGCTCCAGGAAATACAAAAGTCACCTTCCTGTCCCCTCGGAGCCAGAGACCCCAAAACACCTACCAGGAACGAGGGGGCTTCTCCGGGGCCTGCCCCTGCTGGTGCAGGAGGAGGCGGCCACTCTCCCGCCCACACGCAGTTGCCAGGGGCGACCCTGATGAAGATCTGAATCACTCAGACTTGAGTCAATAAGAGGCAGCTACCAGGAAGGCCCAGCTGGAGCCAAACCAAGGCCTGGATTCTGCTCGGTGCAGGAGGCCCAGCCAAGGCCAGCCCACGGCCACTTCGCTGGCGACCGATTCCCCTGACAACACGGTCATCTAAAAGTGCACAGGCACAGGACATTTCCTGTTAGAGGGAGGCCTCTGCCGGAACGCTTGCATCCTTTTTGGTGTGACCTTTTTAGTCTGGCCACTTGCAAGGATTTGTCGTTGTTAGAAAGGGTACATTTCGTGGAAAGGCAATTAAAACATTCATTCCCGGCAGCAGACGGCACAGCAGCTCCTGGGGGGGACACCCACCCAACTGAGTGCGGCTCCCAGGGAGAAGGTAAACTGGGGCACAGATCACGTGACCAGTGGCGCCAACATTCCCTCCCCGGTGCAGCTCCAGGAGGACGGGGTAACGAGGGAGCTTCTGCGTAGCTGGGGAGGGCTCGCTTCCCGACACCGCTGTCAGGGAGAAGGTGGACGAGGATCTCCGTGTTGACCTTTTCCCAGTGCAAACAAGCTACTGACGGAAAACATGTTCTAGTGATAAGAGAAACACCACATCTGGCAACCTATCCCCCACGGAGGACACAAGCAGGTGCTACCGAGAGGGACGATGGACAGAATCACAAAGAGGTTCCCAAACTGGGTTCTAAGGAACCCAAGGGGGTGTCATGCACCTCTTTGGGGGCTGCTGACATGGAATAGGGAGGAAGAAAGGTGGGGTGTATTTCCACCCAACCTAGAGCAACTCAGCTCTTGTCTGCTTCATGTCTCGGACTTGTAGAAAAGATTTCACTTACAGGAAAGATTCTGTGTCTAAAAGTGTTGAGGAGCCCTGGCCGGTTTGGCTCAGCAGTTAGAGCATTGGCCTGCCAACCAGAGAGTCCCGGGTTCGGTTCCCGCTAAGGGCACGTACTTCAGTTGCAGTTTGTCCCCAGCCCAGTTGGGGTCGTGTGGGTGGCAGCCACTCGATGTGTCTCTCTCACATCGATGTTTCTCTCTCTCTCTCTCTCTCTCTTTCCCCCTCTCTCCCTCCCTCTCTATCTGAAGATAAATGCAAACGTGTCCTCGGGTGAGGATAAAAAATAAATAAATAAAATAAAATAAAAATACAAGTGTCGAGGAGTGCTGACGTGTGGCGCAGGCCACCTCTGAGTTAGTGGAAAGCGGCCACCACAGAGCCAGCTGGCCCTTCCCCCGGAGTCTGCGCTCGCGCAGGAGAGCAGCGGGGAGGAGCCGCGGGTCCAGCCTGGCCCTTTCCCTTCCTGGTGGGCCCACAGCTGGCAAGCGCCCCCGACACCCAATCGAGAGGAGCCTTAGGCTAAGTCAAGCATCTAGAAAAGAGACCCGAACCTCAGCAGGAACAGGGGCCGAATGCAGGCGCCAGGCCAGAGCTGTGGATCCAGGGACTGGCGGCCGGAGACATGAGAAGTGGTGCCCGTAACTGGAGGTGACCTTGGACAAGTCCCTGGGATAATCCCAGTGGGAACAGGCTGGCTCGGTTTGGAGGTCCCGGCTGGACCAGGCCTGAGGGCGTGAAGAGGCCCGAGTGTGCCTGCTCTGCACAATCGAGACCGACGGGCATGCTGGGCGCTGCTCACAGGTGCGCCCGTGCCATGGCCTCCAGGGTCCTGACAGCTGGTGTACAGGCCAGGGCTCTGCTGGCCTGTAGCAAACGTACCTGCGTCTGCCCAGCATCTCTTCGAGAATGATTCCCCTTCCGGGCCAAAGAAACCATGCCCAGTCCTTCTAGGTGGGAGAAACCCACCCCTCACTCCTCTTCCTCACTGTGAATGTGGCCGGGGCCAACCAATTAGAATATCCCCACCCCCTGGGCACAGTGCCTGGCTCAGGACTAGGTGTGTGACCCGGGCCCTCCCTAGGCTTGCACCAGAGTTACTGAAAAACACACTCTCCCTCTGAGAACAATGTTGGCTTGGGATGGCCAATGGCCACCTTCCCACCACTTGGAAACAGCCTGAGAAGGAAGCCAAGTGGAGCTGAGAGACGAAGGCACATAATCCTGACGGCATTGTCCACTGCTGGATCCAGCCATACCTGAGTCACCGTTTTGATTCCCAAGGTGCCAGGTCCACAGAGTTCCCTTCTTGCTTACGTGAGTTTGAGCTGGGTCTTTGTGATTTACAGTCGAGGGTCCTAAGTCAGTCACCTATCCAGAAATGGGAAGGGGTAGGAATGCAGCACACCTACTAACTCGAGTGAGCCTGACATTTTAACAGAAACCATCTGAGCCCTGCAAGCGAGCTTCCTGCCCCACTGCCCCTTTGGAAATTTGTGCCACCAGCAGCCTGGTCCAGAGATGCCAGGGAGGTGGCTGCTTTCCTTGGCGGCACCCAGTGTTCACCCCCAGGTTGACGCCGACTCCCCGGCAGCAGCCACGTACCCGGATGGAGCCCCTCCACTGTGGCTTCTTCCACGGCCCCTGGACAGTGTGGCAGTCCCTCCTCTCTGTCACCAGGTGTGAGCCTCTCCCTTGGCACCCACTCAAACCACTAAAGAAAGTTTATCCACTCGCTCATGTCCCCAGGATGCCTGAGGCTGTGCCAGGTCATCCCAGACCCTGGCCTGTTTACCAGGCTCCACTGTCCACCGCTGACCGCTCTCGGCTGCTGGTCCTCAGGTCTAAGCAACCAGAACAGACACGGCCAGGAAGCCCTGCACGCTGACGGGGGCCCCTCCAGCACTGACGGTGGGCAATGTGGGCATCATAGCATCTCTCAGTCCAGCACCACCCTGTGATCCAGGAGTCAGAGTGACAGCTGCTCTCTCCTCACCCTCCGGTCAAAACCAAATTGCTTAATAAATCCACATGTGAGATTTGCCCGGAGGAGGCCAAAAGGGATAAACTAAATGAGCCATACATAAAAGAAGGTAATTTGATAAATAGGAAATAAAAGTTCCCTAGATAAGTGACTGAAAAAACACCTTAAAAAGCTCAAGAGGCTGCCCAGCCGGCGTGGCTCAGTGGATTGCATGTCATCCCACAGACGGAAAGACCCTGGTTCGAGTCCCGGTCAGGGCACATGCCCGGGTTGCGGAAGACAGCCGATCGATGTTTGTCTCTGACATCGATGTTTCTCTCTCTCTCCCTCCCTCTCTCTCTGAAAAATCAACAAAAACATATTTTTTAAAAAGCTCAAGAGGAAAGAAATTAGGAAAACAAATCTCTATATGGGAAATGCAAGCTTACAATAACATGCTACAAATATGATCAACACGTTCTATTTTAAAGTTAGAAATGTGTCAGCAATGGTGTTATTCGGTGAACTAGCTAAAAAAAAAACCCTTTGGAGAGCTGGGCCAGGGCAGCTTGGGTGAGGGCGAGCTGTATGGCTGGGGCTAGTCTGGGGTCCTAGGGCTGGAGCCTGCCGGAGTGGTCCCCGAGGGCTAACAGGCATGGGAGAGGCACAGTGTAGACGGAGTCCAGGGCAATCACTGTGCGTTCTCCCCAGGGATGGCCCCACCACTCCGGGACCAAGGGTTCAGATTCTGGATTTCCTCAGCTCTCCTCTAGCCTGCCCCTGCCTGCCTGGGCCCCTCTCACCCCACCCCTGCTCCGCTCACAAATCTGCTGCCAAAATCAAGCCTGTGGGCCAAGCTCCTACCGTTGGCTCAGACCCAGCTCTCCTGGTGTAGCTGCTCCTGCTCCCCAAAGAGCACCCCAAGTAATTCTGCCTTTTCTCCCCCCACCCCAGCTCTGCCCCTCTGCTCCTGCTGCCCCCATGGCCCCAGATGTCCCCTCCCCACCTCCTCCTTCCAGACCCACCCAGGTGCTGGAACACGAAGCCGTCATCTCCCTTCCCCCTGGAAGCAACCTCTCCTCTGAAGTCCCTGGCTCCCCCCTCCCGCCCCTCCCTTCGGCACCGAGCATTCGCCACCTGATGTTATATTTGTCTTTCTCTTCTCCTGGGCAGTCTACACCTGCTTTATCTTTGTGCCCTATTTATTCCCTCCTTCTTTCCTTCCTTCATTCATTCCACAAATATGTACTGAGCGCCTATTACATGCTGGACGCCGGGCGGGGACTGAGGGTACAATGATGAACACGTCTTGGGAGGCGGAAAACACTGAGCAAACAAACATAAGTAAATGTATCAGTACAGGCTGTGATACGGGCCGTAGGAAAGGTGTATCTCTGAGGACGTCAAGTTAAACTGGGACCAGAGAGGCGAGAAGACGGTCAGGCACCCCTTCTCGGAAGGTAATAGGTGTTCGCTAAGTATCTGTGGAAGGAGTGGGTGACTGTAAGGAATCCCTAGTGTGTCCCCTGTCTCTCCAGACAAACTTACCCCCTCTCATCGCCCTGATAGGTCACTCCAACGGGTACCCAGAGGGGTTTCACAGCTCCAGTGTTCAACAGGACATGTCCACCTATGTCACCCCTGCAAGGGTGCTCGCCACAACTCAACGCAGCTCTGCTCATGACTCCCCGCCACCGCCACCCCCCCCCCCCCCAGCGCTGGGCAGCAGGTGGGTTTCGTCCTGTGTGCCGACTCCAAATCCCTGCCTGGGCTGCCTGGGACACCGGGCTGTGACTGACCAGCGACGTCCACCGCAGGAGCCCGAGCCGAGAGCAGAGCCTGTGCCGCCGATTCCCTTACTGCCCAGGGCCCCGCAGATGACCACCCAGGCGAGAAATTTCCTCCAGATCTAATTGCCTGGAAAAGCACTCAGCGTCTGGTATCCTTTTCATTATGGGCCACATGAACCGTGTACATAATATTTTTTTCCTGCTTTGATTGCTAATTAGCTCAGAGCTATATCTGTGCTTCAAATATAGTAAACTGTGTATAGCTCTATGGCCTGAATATGTATTCTAACTCTCTCCCTGATTTTGACCTCCTAGTTAATCTGCATTTTTCCTCATCTTATTTTTATGGGTT